TTCATTTAGGAGTCTCTGGGTGGCACCACCAGTTCAGTGCTCAGCTGGGCTGCTAACCGAAAGGCTGGTGGTTTGAAGCCATCCTCTCTGAAATGGAGATTTGGGCCACTGTGGAGGGCCTTGTCAGGACAGACCTTCTGGGTCTGTAAAAAGGCCATGGTTCCTGTATTAGCTGTGATGAAGACAACTGTCGTATGGGTCATAAGACTGGTGGAAGACAGACCTGGCGCTGCTCCTGAAAGGTCACAACCATGACAACCCTACGGGGCACAGCTCTACTGTCACCCACAGGCCAATGGCAGCTGGTCGGTTACCAGTAACGTTCAGTAAGTGCCTGCTGTGTGCTGGGTCTCATGCTACACGACACTTTATACACTTTCCCAATAGCTCTAGAGGACTAGTGTGCTATCCCCGCTTTATACATGGGGAAACTGAGTCTCAGAGAGGGGAGGGAAAGACACCAGCAAGTGAAGGCAGGAGCCAGGCCTGTAAAGCATGGGCATGACCTGCAGTCTTCCACCTCTGAAAGGACTCACGCAAGTGGCGAGGTATGTGGGTGCACCCTGTGTGCAGGTCAACTGGGAGCGGGGCCTCAGGGAGGTCACCGGGGAAGTTCCCACATAATGTCCCTGGTAGGGGAAGGGTGTCTGGCCCAGGTCTGAGGTGGGGAAGTGCAGGGAGTGGGTGGGGAGGGAGCAAGCGAAGGAGTTTGGATTGGTTGGTATACTCAGAATACCTTTCAGAATGTCTGATCCATCTTGGCTCTGACCCGATGGACATCAGCCAGAGTCTAGTTGTGGGCTGGACACAAGACTGGGAGAATAGTGTAGTGTACACACACACACCCATAGACACGCACACACACTGCACATGGGACACAGCCATATCCACACCGCCACTGACATGACACTCCATGGTCACGGCCATGCCCACACATGCGTGCCACTCACACATACCATCCACATGAAGGCAGACGGGACACATGCATCTGCACATGTGTGTGCAGAGGAGCAGACACATGAGAGGCACAACCTGGAGGCACTGCACACTTACCAATGCACGTGTACAGGCGTGACAGAGGAGGTGCAGGGTGGGGAGTAGGAGCCCTGGCTGCCAGCTTCCCGCTCTACCCCAAGTTTGCCAGGTGACCTCAGACAGATTTCTCATCTCTGGGCCTCAGTTGCTTATCTGTACAATAGGGTGGGTTGGCACAAGGTCCTCCAGCTTAAGGCCCTGGCATTGGAACCCAGCTGCCAGGATGTCCCCTGTAGGCATATTAACTCCATTCACCAGGCCTCCACTGGGCCCCAGCATCAAGGGCTGGGATGAAGTGCTCCCCCAAGCCCAAATTCAAGCAGAGACTTCCCCACGGAGCTGCCATAACAACCAAGATCCTGGATCTCTGGCCCAGGAGGAGATACACAGTCGCCCTACAGGGGCTGAAACTGACAGCGCACAAGGTAATACAGGCCCAGACAGGACCTGGGCAGGGAGAGAGACAGGATCACAGCATGTCCCCAGCTAGCGGAGAGATAACCCAGGCCTAGACCCAATCTCAGGGGAGAGGGCACAAACTCAGAACAGGACCCATGGGCAGGAGATGACACAGAGCCCAACCTGGGTCAAAGAGAGATGGCATTGGCCTGAAAGACAACTGGAGGGGAGAGAGAGGTGGCCCAGGCT